ACAGAAAACTGAGCAGCTGCCAGTGTATATTGCATCAAAAACCAAGGTGCGGTGGGATAGCAAGTTGAATGCACTTAAAACACCTGCTCACCATTCACTGCAGACATTACTTGTTTGGCATCGATATGAGTATGCGCTCTTTGTGTGTATTCCGTCCAAGTGGGATGCGAAGGATTCTCCTAAGTATGAAGAATCCTCACCCATGACAAGGTTCGATATCTTCGAAACCCAAGTGTGAGCTCGACGCTTTCGCTAAATTCTAAGGATCTGGCTGAATCTGTTCCAAACGGGGTCGGTCATCAGATTTTGGAAGATTGTCTGCAAGGTTCTAATGTCGTATCAAGCTAGACCTTGAATAAAAAGCTTATTAGGGCTGGACTCCCAGTCTTTGCTGAATCTCGTGCGTTTGCAATCTCAGCGTTGGATGGTTTTGGCTTGGCTTTTTCATCACCTGAGTCCAGCCCCAAATCATGAGTTACATGCTAAGCCAGAGTTTCGTCGAGGCTCGAGAAAACGTCATTCAGACGTTATTATTCTCCTTGCTATTATTATGAGGGAAATTACATCCAGTCACTGTGGGCAGGCGTAGTTACTGAGTTATTGAGAGTGGTGAGATGAGTCTTGAGCTTGAAGGAGTGTTGTTCCATGCTATATAGGAACTAAAAATTATACAAGGTACATAATCTATCAAATTTACTAAGTGGTGTATCAAACTTGTGGAGATTTAATGATTTCTTGCTAATCTTATGCTCATTACAAATCAAAAGGTGTAACACATTGTGCAAGTTTTTTATGATAAGGATGGCATTGGCACATTAAGAAATGAGGTTATTTAGAAAGATTTTTACAATCCAAATAAAAAATCTTATAATGAATGGTCCTACTTTCTTGAAAGTAAGGAAGAAGTTGGCACTAAAATGGTCTGTTGAAGTCTAGAGCTAGCCATGGTTCGTTTACAAGGGATAAGAAGTGCAACTTACTAAGGAGAAACTTGCACTACTTTCATGCTCTTTGATCATAACTTGCAAAACCAATGAGAGATTATCATTTTTAATTTGAAAAATATTTTTATTTCATTTTAATTTTTTATTTTAGCTTCATCTTTTTATACATTAATATTTCATTTTATTTTCATATTTAATGTAACCAATAGAATCATAAGGTTTTAAGATTTAGGTACATGCTCTAAATTTTTTTAATGAAAGTTAAACAAAAGAATAAATAAATAAATATATATATATATATATATATATATATATTATGAAAGAAATTCTAATTCACATTAATTTAAAATAATTTAGTTTTACTTTGCTAAATAAATTTTCAAAAAGCATATTATTTTGTTTTTTTAAAAATATTAATTAAATTTTAATATTATAAATATAATAACTTATATTAAAATGAAAATTTTATGGAATTTTATGGAATTCTATATTTATATTAAAAGTTATATGTAATTTGTTGTAAGTCTAATTTAATAGTAGTTATTTGAAAATAAAAAATATATGTTATTTTTTAATTCAATTTACAATATCATCATAATTTGATTGAAATATAAATATTAAAAATAAAATTAAACATCACATGAAGTAGTATGTTAACATTAAAATATTTTATCTAATATTCTTGCATCAACTATATCTAAGTTTTCTTTTGGCTATTTCTAAATCCTTTCTACAAATGCAACACTTCTTTGAGCAGCGAAGTGGACGTCATGACAAGGGCGATAGGATTAGAGCAACATTGATTTTGTTGTCATTCAGTTTTATCTAATACTTGATGGATGGTATTAGAATGATGATTATTGTACAGATTACTTATTGGCCTACAATAATATGAAAGTAAATAATGTAGTTAGCAACAAATTGATGTATGAATATCAAAGCACTAATTGCATATATACATGGAATTTTAGATAGCTACCACCATTTGTAAGTGCATGTGAAATTTCATAAATCCAAATCATTAGATGATAGCTTTGACATGCATTTTAAGATAAAATCAAAAGAAAGAATGATGTAGTACTCACATGCAAATGTCTGTGATAATTTGATATATTATTGTATACTTGTTGATAATAGTTTAATACTTATATAAGCTATAATATGTTGTTCATTGTACCATGCTATGAGTTGATATTAAATTTTTTCCAATATTAAAATTAATAACATTTTATGCCCTTTGAAGATCCAAGAGTTTAGATATTCTCCAATATTTGAAGTTATGTGGCTAGATTGGTTTCCATAAAATGATGATAATGTCCAATATTGAAGTCTAGTGCTCATCAAGTACTCCATAGCTTCTTTTGATATATCTTGGACTTTTGAAAGTTTGATGTTGAAATCAAAAATAGTTGGTCTCTTTATTGCTCCCGATAGATATTATACAAGTATTAGATTCTTAAATTGTTATTGAAATTTTTTAATTAAATGGCATATACAAAATACGTGCTTGTATGTTAGAAATACAAGGTTGATAGCATCAACGAGACCTTTCTATTGATCAAACAAAAATGTGAACTATAGAAGTTCACTATTTAGTGGATGGAATGTAAGAATTGTTCTCTTTAGTTTTTGTAAGAACTACAACCAACTATCATCATTTTCAGCATTTACAATGTTGAATGCAATAGGAAATAGTTGCTCCTCTCCTTTAATTATTTTAGTACCAATGAATACTCCACAATATTTTCTTTTCAAATAGGTGATGTCTATGCCAATAACAAGTCAACAATGTTGCAAGCCTTGTAAACACCTATTATAGGGAACAAACAATTGAAGAAAGCAATTTTTTTTTTATCAATTTCTACTTCTATATAACTCCCAAGATTTGTTATATTGATTTGGTGACAATATGCTTTCATATTGGTATAGATATCTTCATAGGAACCAATAAGCTCAAAAACAACATTTTTTCTTCTATGACATACAATTAGATAGAATACTATAATACCTTCATTATCCTTTTGAATATCTACAATTCTATATTGTGGTGTATGTTCCAATTTGTTCTTCATGTTGTCTACTACCCAATTTGCGTAAGCATGCAAGTTTGTGTGTATTAAAACAAGTATTCAAATGTCAAATTCACTTCTATATGCCAATTGAAATCATGATGCATACAATCTCTATTTTCAAGTGTTGTTAGAATAATTCACAATGTATCTCATTGGATCAAAGTTGACAATAGATATTTTGTAATGCTTGTTAATTGCATCATGAGAATTAACTTCTTTCAATTGTTAAATACTACTAAAAACAACATCCATAATTAGAGCACTTATCATTTTGAAGTAAGATTGTTGCTCACCACATTTCTCAAAAAACAAATTTGTTCACAAGTATCATCCATCAATATTCTTTGGAAGTTGGAGAGATAAATAACCTTTTTGATGAAGCCTAAATCTGTAATAAATACACAATAAAATTCAATAGTATACTTTTTGATGTGTTATAATTCTAATTAGGACTAAATGTGTTTGTTCAATAATAAAAAATAAAAATAAATAAATAAATTTAATAAAAATATAATAAAATTAGTTTATTATAATTATCAGAAATATAAAAATATATATCAAAAATATATTTAAAATGATAGGAATATCAAAAATATATTTAAAATGATAGGAATAAAATTATATCAAAAGAAATTATGAAAATTTATAAAAATAAAAAAATAAAAAATAAAAAATAAAATGAAATAAAAACACCTTATCAGAAATGCATGAAAAATACTATGCCAAAAATTAATCACAAATATGGTATTAGAAATTATCAAAAATTATCAAAAATAGAATTTTAGGATGAGTCTTGATCATTTGGAGATGTCAGTAGTGATGAGGAAACAACTACAGCACATGCAAACTTCTTACAAATGTGTCAAGGTAGAATCAACATTTCTCGTGAAGGAGCAAAAACAAAAACTGGGTTGTTGTTACAAAGAGCAGAAGGATGTACACTGACACTGGAGTACGAAGTTCAAATTTGGAGCGTACCCAACAACAGGAACGAGTAATGAATGCAGCGACTCCATGAAAACGGATTGCCGCATGAATAGTATGTACATTTACTTGGGATACATCGGCGTTCTCAACCTGTGAACTGTGGACAAATGATTCAAAAAAATCGATGCTTGACTAGCTGTATCCTCTCACCTTACAGTGCTCAAACCCAGAGATTCAATGAGTCCGCAACGTCGCAAGTCCACGAACGCACTGTTCAAGAGAAGCTGTCGAAGTGAGCACGATCGCATTGATCAAGAAGAGCATTATCGAGGTGACAGGAGCAGGCGCCGACGATGAGGACGCGAAGGGGGTATTTTTATACTGGGTAGCTCACTACCCGGGTGCGGAAGACTACCCGGGTGCTCCCTGCTGAATAGCCGAGATTTGTGCGACTGCAACGGGAATGGACGGCTTGCATGGGGCCCAGGCACTGCGGAAAAATGCCACTCCAGACCCCAGTTTAAACTAAACTGGGTTATCAACCTAATGGGCTTTTGTGCACTTATTACAAAAAGTAGGGGTAGATGTGATATTATCAATACTTCAGGGGTATTCTTGATACGTCGAGAAAGTTCAGGGGCATGTGTGATATTTTCCCAAAATTCCAATATGCTATTCGTGAAAAATTCACCTTTCATTTTTCCATTTTTATCTTATTATACTGTAAAGCTTCACAGCAACATAACAAAAGAGAAGATTGTTGACAGTCTTGTGGGACCCACTCACAGGTTCATTTACAATTTCAACTACATATCTTTTTCTTTTGCAAATTAAAAAAGCCAGTCACATATCTTGCTTTAATCCAATACAATCAATCCTTCTCTTCAACCACCTTTCTCCTCTCAAATTTATCACACCTTCAACTTGCATTTCGAATAGACAAAGTTTATCATAAAACCCATCCAACAAACGCTCAGAATTACAGCCAACAAACTAATATGCGGCTCTTTGAACCAATCACGTCGATTCTGTCATCAAAACCCAATGCGAAGCAAAATAGAAGCAAGCAAGTTGGTAACTACAAGTGATACAATGCATCAATAAGAACATGAAGAATAATTACATGGGCTTTTGAGTGACAGATCTGGTCCAATTCTGCAAGTGATCGACAAAGACGATCACCGAGCCCCCAACTCATGGAATTCCAACGATGTTGCATGAATCCACAGCTTCGGCTGAGGAAAATCCGCTGTTCGGACAACGAGAATCACACCCCATCTGCTGCATCAGATCGGGTCGCATTAGATTCCGATTACTTCATCTGATCGACGATTGTTCGATCGATGCCATGTTGCCAATCCTTAATGTACACATTATTACTCCTCTGGGCACTCGACGCCGACAATTCTCAGCGGAAGGGAGCGCAATTCAATTAGAAACATTGATATCGGTGTCGTGGACATGCAAAACTGTTTGACTGTGGGTTGGCTCGCCGCTCCCAGGACTTGAAAGTTTTGGAACTGTCATAGCAAGAAGGGCTGCTCGCCGATGGTGGCGAGCTCGTAACTCTTCACAGCGGGTGCGAAAGATAACATGGCGTGATCGGTAGTGCAGTTCGTCACGTTGACGGAGTTGGGCCCACCGTTGGGGTGCTGGGGAAAATCCTTACAGGTTTCCCAGCGGCCGTTGAGGGTGTTGTGGTAGTGGTACGAGCGGAGCACAGTTGGGTCCATAGTGATGTAGTGGCCTTGCTTCAAGTGTTCGGAGTAATGCACCCCGGTCGCCCACACAAGCTGTGGCTGGAGTGCGTATTTGCGTGACTCCACCGGTTCCCAGCCGTAGTTGCAGTCTGCGTACACAAGCTTCTCGAAAGCCCATTTCCTGCACTCGTGCAACGGCAGAAACGTGAAGACGACTCGAAGGCTTCTCTGATCTGTGACTGTGTGGCAAAAGGTGCAATGGATTTAAGGGATAGGAGTCGAGTTTAGTTATTCTCTGACCTTGATTGCTTGGCCATGGATTGGGCTTCAGTGGTAGTTTTGTTGCTCTTCTCGCAGAGTGCGTCCGAAATTTTAATATTCTTGAAGAGGATTTGCGTGACATTGTTGCGAGCCTGCTCTGCCAAAAGATTGAGAATGGCTCTCGGGCTGTGTGCCTCAGGGATATACAAGTATTCATCGATGTCAAAGAAGAAGGTCCAGCTAGCGAGGGTCTGTGATCGCATCAAGCAGTCGTTCAATATCGTGAATTGGTGGTGATAATAGCCTTCATACACCTCTGCCTGCCGCAGATTCTGAACTTGCACGCGACCCAGGTCAATCCATGGCTTTAAGACGCGGTAGACGTCATCGTGGATGCCCCCGGCGTCGTGAAACATGAAGAGCGTGCGATTGCCGAAGAACCAGGCATGGTACGCAATCCACTCCCGTACCCGCTGAGGACTGATGTTGCCATACAACGGGGAGCCGCAAAATGCCAGGTCATAGGAATATGGCTGTTGGAAGTGGCTTGCGCTGTATTCGCCTCTCATCTCTGTAAGGGCAACAAATCTCTCTGGAATGCGGTAGGAATCCGAGTAGCCCGCAGTGAGAATCATCTGCCCACCCTCTGCGTCAGTCCCAACATCTCGTGGAAAATTGCACACGAGCACCATCGTACCATATAATCTTCCCATATTCCAGTCGGGCTTGATCGCCATGGCCTTCACTCTCAGAGCTTTGGAGTCTGAAGTAACCCACTCGCATTCATGGGTAATATCGTGCAATTCGTTGAGGAGTTTGCTTGTCATCACCACTGACGAGAATGTGCGGGGACCGTTCCTGTAGGAGCCCACTTCAATAATTAAGCGCGATGCGACCCCGTGAGCGCGGAAGCTGCGAACCTCCCCTTTCGAGAGATCGATACTGGACATGTTGAGTTTTTCGTCCAGAGCGAACGAAGCATTGGTGCAAGCCATCGGGGGAGCTGATGCCAGCCACCATGTACTCTCGTATCTCCCTGCATTGGAAGAGATTTGAAATCCTAGAAGAAGGCAATTCAGAATGACCAACACCGCAACCACACTAAAACATGTCCCCGAGGCTGGGATTCGCTCCAAGATTTTCCCCGTCGAAGACTTCATGCTGCTACTGCAGCAGAAATTCTTCGTAAGCAATTTGCGAAACTTAGACCAGCTCTAATAGACCACCTCAGACGCACCTGCAGCGCAAAATCAGACGAACGAAATATCAGCAAGATTACACGTAAGTGGGATGCATGTCTCAATAGGCATGAACGAATTCCCGACTTGTGCATGACGAGACCACACTAGAATAAATCAGGCAGCCACTGAGAGAAACTGAAAGCGGGAACAGCAGGGATACCTCTGCTGAATCAAGCGAGAATTAAGAGACCGAGTGTTTTGCAGCACGCAATTCTTGAGATCTAAGAGGAAGAGTGGCATGACTATTGTCTGTGGAGTCCTGCGATGCTTCAAGTAAATGACAATGACTTTCAGCGACGTCGACCACTGATTCCTGAGGTGCTTCTGTGGCGTCACTGGGAAGAGATAGCTGGCGTGAGAACCGTGAATTCGGGACGGCGGTGACATAAATGACAACTTATCTCGGTGGCAGACCAGAAGAATTGATATTCGTTGTAAAATATTTTTGATACATGCACCGGAACACAGAGCAGATCCAAGTTTCTAACGAGGATCCAGGTCACACCTTCACAGTTGTGGAGGATACAAGTTTGCGACCTCCAACTGGTTCCCCATGATCGATGCGCTAACGCCTCCGTGGATTCTGAAACATTTAAGGTGTTCAAAACCTTCAGCCTGATTTGACCAGCACCAAAGACTGCAGTAGATTACTGAGTTTGACAAGGTTCTGATCAGTGTGAGTGGATCAATTAAAGCATACAAAAATCGGTATTAAGCAACTGTAGGAATCCATCCCTGGCATGCACCACAAACCCGGTGCCAACTTAATGGGGATCGATACTTTCAAAAAAAAGGACGTCCCAAAGAAAAGCACACCAGTGAAAAAAAATTGGCAATCATTCGGGAAATTATTTTTTCTCCACGCAATCGAAAGCAGGTCACATCTTTATGATTGGAGGTCTGCCAGAATCCGCCCGTGCCAAACGAGGCAGGTGAGGGTGCTGGATATTTGCATTGAGGGTCTAAAAACAGGAATACGCAAAGTGGCAATTAGACGTCCTTGCCCCCAATAAAAGACAACAGTGTTTGACAAAATGCAGCCTGAACCTCTGTGAATATTACTGTCCCTTGGTGCGGGATCCATGCTTCGCGATCCAAGTAGCACATGGACCGACATCAACGTCTGGCTGCGGCATTGATAGTGAACACGGAATGGGTCGATGGTAACAAGGCTGAGGCGGCTATGGAGTTCAGAACCCGTCTGTGGGGCCAACATTTCGCAAATGTGTAATTCTCAGAAGAATTTCAAATGTGTAATCAGTCTATTAAATACACAACGCCATGCGGAATGCGGGGCCTGCTACAAGACATCCATTGCATACTGTTCACCAACAAAAGTGAATGCACGCCACGAAAAGCTAAGTAGAGCTTTTGGAAGTAGGACAAAATTAATTGTGCTTTTCTATCAAAAACGCGGTAAAAAACTATAATTATATACAAAAACTAGTTGAGGCTAAAAGAACGTCAAAGTCAACTCATCGTGGTGATGATAGAAATAACCGGTCTATCCAAGCAATGCTCCAACAAGCGATCTGCAAAAAGAAATATTTGAATGTGGGTCTTCTATCAACTGAAATCGGTAACTCCAAAAATGAGAGGAAATTTCCATAAGTTTTTTAAACCAGTTTTACAGATGAGGTTGTAAAAGACGGGTTCAAATCATAAACCGATAACAGTTGCTACCTTTCGAAGATCACAACTCCTACATCAGTTTTGATGTTAGTAATGCAGGAACTGCCCAGATTAACAAAAATGAGGTGAATGACGAAGGCCGCGTGTGGCCACACTCTCAAAGCACAGCTCGATCTCAATAATGTATATGTGATATTTCGGTATTGTATGATTTCATCTGAAGTGGGCTACAGCTAACAGTCTGGAAGGCGTGCAGTTTCAAAACGGTAATGTTACTCCAATCACACGGTAACGTCTTCCAAGAGGTAGAGGACAAAAAGCATCTCCCTCACAAACCTGGGACGCCAAAATTCGTTTACCTGACTAATAATACAGCAACTTTACTTTCTGTCCCCGAACTTTCCACTTCAGGAGGTTGCCAATTTCAAGTTGGCCATAATTACCTCAAACTTCTGGATGTTTATTTTTATTTTTATTTTTTGTTTTTTTGCAGAGTACCTCATACCACCCCACACTTGTGAATGAATATAGTTTCGCGGAGTATCAACTGTAAAGTCAAGGTAAAGGTTCTGTCCGTTGCCCAATGGTGCTCCAAGTTTGGGGGAAAGTCTTTCCTGGGATGTTTATTGGTGGATTTCAACATTAAAACATGTGTCGGAAAATTCAGTGTATATGAGAAGAAAGTGTCTTACTACATTGATGGTGTTAGTATCAAACTCAAATGATGGTGAAGTTTCCATGTTCAATTTTATTTACTGAGTTATTGCATGAATAACACACTATCCTCAACTAATGCTTCTTCGCTTTAATATCAAACACAAAAACTCATCCTCCATACATCCACAGCGGGGTAGTTTTTTGGCAGCCCATCAACATCCACTCAATTATGTTTTACCACCCGAGTCACAAAGGTGCACATGCTCATTTCCTTGCAGTGGACTTTTGAAAGTCGACTGCATATATTGACCGGATCTTCGGTCCTTTCCCAACATGATTGTACCATAGTCCTCTGTATCTTTAATTCATATTTTCTGTTTCGTAACAACATAGCATGAGGAAACTTCCTGAACGTTGCTGATCAGGTTTCTCTCTCTCTCCCCCCCCCCCCCCCCGAAAGGGTACTGCGTGCTAATTGTCTCATGAAATGTACCTCAATTCTGCAACCCTAACTACTCCCTCAGTCAAGGGTTCGAATGCAACCTCGAGCCAGCTTTACACAATGAGAGAATGTGGGGCTGAACACTGCAGACAGCAGAGAAGTCAGGACTTTGGTGTGGTACAAGTCCTAGTTCAAATAAACCCACTTATTCATACCAATCAATCACTGGTGTGTGTGTCGACGGCATTTTACGTCATCCAGACAAGATTGCATTGGAGACATATAAAACGATTTAATAATATTGTCCACCTATAGCGGTCAAAGGGGCACAAAATAGACTTAAGAATCTGCCACTCCATCTTCTTTTGTGGCTTGGTGGTTGAGCTTGCCCCATGCAAGGAAAGACTTCTGTCTTCACTTCGTTGCGTTTGAAGTGACGTGTGGAACCAGTCGCCACTGATGAACCTAAAGCTCAAGAAGGGTTTTCTACCCATAAAAACATATTGTGTGTATCTTACCTGCAGTTCAACCACAATTGTAGCTTCTGCAACAGGTTGTGCTGTGCTGTGCGGTTGTAATGCACATGATTCACTGAGCTCCATGTCTTCAGGGCCTTGCAGCTGAAATTGCTCCTCCTTTTCGAGCTGGTTGTGTCCAGCTTCTGCCCAGCTGCAGTTCACTCGCTATTGTTACGTCTTTGATTGCCCAACAATTTATACTGAATGAGTGTACTGTGGAGTTAAACAAGAAACTACAGCAGTTGGATGTGAACACATAATCAAAATGAGGATTTTAATGGTTTTTTTCAAGGATACGAGTGTTGCTGGGGTTGGAATAGAGGTGTATTTGAATGTGATAAATTGTTTGTTGGTCTCGAGGTAGGGGAATGAGTTATCAGAGGTCATTTCAGAGCTTGAATGTGGCCTGATCTCTTTTTAGTGAATTGAACCTCCTTTAATATTCTTGTTAGACACTATATACTTTTTTTAAAACGTGAAGATCCAACCAAACCACTTTCTAAACCACAAAGCATATCATTAAAAATAATAAAACTACAAGTATTATTTAAATCTTTTTTATTTTTATTTCTAAATTTATTAAGATCTACTTTTTATAATGAGATATTATTTACAAGAAAAATAAATTGTAAGCCTTATTTTTAAATCTCAAAAAATAATTTGAATATATTCAAATTAATTCAAATTAATTCAAATTAATTTAAGAAGATGTATTCTTAAATTTTTTTCATAATAATTCTAAAAACAATTATTCAAACACATTTTTTGGAATTAATTATAAATATTTTTATTTAATAACTTTATTAAATTAACATTAGTTAAAAAAATATGAAATTTTATAAATTATTGAAAAACAAATTGCTATTAGTAATTAATTCTAGCATAAAAATATAAATCTTGTCCTTTAAAACTATTTTAAGACTATTTGAACATAACAATGCCATCAACTTATGTAATTGATAAATATTCACTTGGATAAAAATATTAATGGAATACATATTTTTAAAATATGTATATATATATATATATATATATATATATATATATTTGAAATATTTTATTAATAACCAAATTCTTTATTTTTTTAAATATTTAATTTTATATTAAAATTAATTAATTAATAAAAAATATTATTTATAATGTATTAAATTTTATTTATTAAAAATCATATGATTATGAATAGTTTAATTTTTATTTTTGATTGAAATTAAATAAATTCTGGTATTTAATATAAAACTCAAATTATAAGATTTTTTAACCAAATTATTTATTATCAAAGGTACAAAGATAAATAATAATAATAATGATAATAATAATGACTAAAAATTTTAAAATTTTAAATAAAATTCTAAATTAAAAAATAAGATTAGATACTAGATTATAAATAATTAAATACTTGGATTGATCTAAAACTTGTATCAATTAGACTCAAGTGCCTTTAGCCAAAGCTTTATGTTCATTCAAGCATTGTATGTTTATAATTTAGAGTTATTTACATGGTTTTGTCATGTCAAGATCTTCAAGCACCATAGAATAATATAATGTAATATCAAATATGTAAGGTATTTGTAGAGATAATTGAGAAGGATCTAAAGTCTATATTAGAACAGTTGAGATTTTAATGAAAAAAATAAATTGTTGTATAGAAACGAATATGTTAATTTGTGAAAGAAAGTTGAACATATTACAAAGGTTTTTGACCTTGTAATGACTTGCAACAATGATAGATTGGAGTTTGGGCTTTTATTGAGCAAGTTATTTTTTATGTTATATAAATCTTATTTTCAAGTAGAAAATTATAAAAAATCCAATTAATCTGAAGAAACTATCTTCTAATTGAATGACAAAGAGACTTCTATATAACAACTTTTGGATTTAAAATGATGTTGTGATATAGTAATTAGTATGCTTCTAAAGCATTTTTCTAACAAATTTGAAGACATTAAAATTTTATATTTAATATTGCAATATGTGATGAAATAGAAGAGAATATTAAATTTCTATGGAAAATATTGATTTATGTAAATAAAAGAAAACGTTATAAATATTAAAAATTAGCATAGCATCGACTATAAAGGTTGTAAGATTTTTTTATATATAAAAGGTGGAAAATAAGATGATTTAAAATTATTGTTAAATAAGAAGAGTCATGAAATCAAAAAATACATAATTACATGAAATTATCATAAAGTTTATGAATCAAAGTAGTTGAAACTTGTAGTACATCCAAAAAGATGGATGTTGCATACAATAATTTTTTAAAGAGAAAAGTGAGCATTCTTGCCAATTTATGCTATCTCAATTTGAT